TTTGGCTTTTTTTTTCGATCCACAAAATCATCAATGAAAACGGAAATTTTATATTTTAAATAAATAATAAAAAATGATGATACGAGGAGGAAAAAATTTGCATTTACGTTACTCATGGATTTGTACGTAATGTGATGCATATCCTTTAATTAATATTAAGATAACGAACTTTTTCATTATATTAATATATAATGAATGCGATCGAGAAGTAATAGAAAAATATATATTCATACATTCAACTGCGTCGAACTCATGTTTTTGCCTCGTGTTCTTCGTTTTCTTTTTTTTATTTTGTACAAGAAATTCCGCTTTCTTCATAAAATTATTAAAATCTGACGATAATTAAATTCAGGTGTTTCCTAAATCAAAATTATTTCGATTCACGGTATTGAAAAAATGCTTCGATTAATTTTCATTATGATGAGGTTTAACAACCGCTAAGAAGAATTAACTGCGTTCATTAATTGAAAAATAATAATAAAGACGAGCTGACGATTTCAATTCACGTAATATATCTCCTCAACAGTGCAAAATGTACTGAGTAAAATTGTGAGATGGCTATTCTTTTTGAATGATCGAAGGTGACTTAATATTATGGAGGCTTGAAATTATTAACTTACGTAAAATTCAACGCAGTGGCTAAAGCTGACAGCAGCTGATAATCGATTCCAGCATTGACCAGAACGCATTCCTCCGCTAAGTTTTCTCGACAAGTCGGATTTTTAACTGATATCCACGGATCGTAATCATTTGCACTAGTCACAAGTGATCGGAGCTGAAAATTCCTGTAAATTGCTTTAATATCCGGAAAATACTGGAGGGCTGATTCCTGGTCAGCATATCCGCGGGCACCCGAATATTCCTCGTCCGACGAAATACTCGTGATTAATTTCGGAATGCGGACAAATCCTCTCTTGGATGCCTGAATCGTCGACGGAATTAAGGAAAAAATATTCAAAGTCGTTGGTATTATTTCCGAAGTATTTTTGATGAAGTCTCTGGGATCCGCGTGCACGTAGGAAATTTGCCATTGTTCTCCAAGAGCCCCTGTTTGTGCAGTCAAGTTCATCGAGTTTTCCGTAACTACGAACCATTTCCATTGATGAGCTGCCATGTATCTGCGACTGACCTATGGAAAGAAAAATTGCACGACTTTTCATCAGAAATATTTTTATTGAATTATGTACCGTAAGTATTTTTAGAAACCAAAAAATTGCTGCGATGTTCACTTTCTTCTTCATAGTTTTCTTATGACATTTATTGTCCTGTTAAATCTTATGGTGAAAGGCACTTGAAAAAATGAAAGTTGTCGCCATTGTGTCCTCAAATAAAGGAAGTCAGTGCAAGCATTATCGCGCTTAAAATCAAAGATGAACACTTGTTTCCGAAACCGTTCATTTCCAAAAATCAGGGCCATTTTGCTTGCTTCATTCTTCAGTAACCCGGTGCTTTTTTTAAACAAATCTAATTTTGTTGAGCAGTTAAAATTGTCAGCATTACTGAAACTGAGAGTAAATTAATGCTGTACTGTGTATCATACATCAAACTCTGAAATGGATCAACGGCTTTATTTTCTCCTTTTTGTGCTCTGCCGCTGATTCAATTTTCTCGCGGCAAAACTTGGGCACATTTCCAAAGCAAAAATTTGTTCCTCAGCATTGATAAATTTTGGAAACATTCGCTGGACATCGGGTGTTACATTCTACTGTAATAATTCGTAGCTGGTGACCCAGCCAGAAGAACAAACTACAGTAATTAAATTTCTGCCCTGCGTTCTTGAGATCTCATCGTGAGGCCATTAAGCAACAGAGAAATCATTATGCAATACAGTATTACAGTAACTACTGGTACATAATTTGAGCCCATACTTGTACCTGATGCAAGGCTTGAAATTAAAATCAGCAAATTACATATTTGTTTTCAGATCAAGAGGATTCATATACAGTAGTGTATTTCAAAAATATTTACTTACCAATTTCAAAATGTCTTCTGTATGTTCAGCTGGGCAATTTATAAAAATCCTCTTTACGGACCGAGCGATTCCGAGTGAATTTCTCAGGGCGTGCAAGAATCCCTCGTCACCAACGCTCAAGTAATACCGGCAGTAAATGAGCGAATGTGCGAATTCGTTTGAAGATGTGGGAAAATTTTCTGCATACAATTCATTCTATATTTTTCGCGAAAATCTAAATACGGAGTTCATATTTACGCAGCCATTTAGCCTCCATGATTTTCAGGTGCGGGCGGGCGATTTCGTCGAAAATGTCCCACGGCGTTCGTGCTGAATTTTCTGTCTCAATTCGGTTAATGAAACTAGTCCCCCATTCCGCTATAATTTTGAAAATAGTGAAGAAAAATTTTAAAATGTCTTATCTTGCCGTCAAATAATATTTTATGTATACTGTAACTCCGATTATCCGGATTTTTGACTGGTTGCCATATGTTGGCTTTATGATAAAGGGAATCACTTTAATAATCAAATAAAACATATTTCGCGAACTCATGCAACATAGACACGAATGTACGCATATATGAAGAAATATTTAAAAATGGCTATGATTTAATTGGCATGCCTCGAACTCTCGAAGAATTTTACAGCATCAGTCTGGATAGATCAGTCCAGATAATTAATTTATCCCGTAAAATTACGAAGCAGCAAAAACTACAATGCTTATAGATAACGTTGGGAACAACCGATGGAATCCGTATACCACATGCACCGTTAATCGAAACTGATTGAATTGGTGTTACAATACGTGTACAGCAGTATTATAAATGTACATTACCCTTGGCAAAGTCCTCCTTGATCATCAGAATCATATACAACCCAGCAAATACTCCAAAGCATGATGTGAAGCACATAATGATTCAACTGCCGCGACTTGTATTTCAATAGACTCAATTTATTAAAGTTGCTTTCCAAAACTTTTGAAAACAGTTTCCGTCAAATTATACAAATCCAAATCTCACGACTCAAATTTTTACACTCATCGTTGCTGCTAGTCAAGCACCTTCATTGCTCAAGATGACAGACGAATAGGAAGTGTGTGGTCATCAAAACCGCACACAATATATACCCTACACACTTGACAGTAAAAATACAAACGAGAACACCTTACTAAAACTTTCATCCTCTCATTTCCTGTCGGAAATTCAATGAAACGTGGCTCGAATGTACATGTGATCAATATCGGCTGCACAATGGTGAACGCGATTATCGGCTTCAAGAACAGTAATTACGTTATAATACAACCGTGAATAAAGAACAGTCTTGATATACGAGACATGTTCAAGAAAGAAATGCGCATGCTCTTAAATAAAATGTAAGATATTAACCATTCATGAAATGTATCTGATTATACCTCACTGTAAAAAATAATGTTATGACTAATTTTTGCTGCACAAAAATACACACTATATACATTACCGCATTAAACTTGACAAACTTGTTTGAAAGTGTTCTTCACAACAACATTCACAGCTGGAGTGGGGAAATTGGTGCACACTGGAGATATGAGTATGGTATGTCTGTAATTGTACACAGTGACCTGGCTGTGCACCTGAAATGGAACCAAAGTTCTTCTTTTGCACATGTATATCCCTAATGTGCACCAATTGTGTTCACACCAGAATTACTCAGGGTCACATTTGTAAACAAATAATTTGTACCAAAGTTACAGTTGGTGCATTTGTGCAATAATCCTGTTATGTGGCACCAACTGCATTGTGCACCAACTGTAGCCCAGGAATGGTAGCAAAATTTAATCTACACAGGTACATGCTTGTAACCTCAGAATAGCTCATGTAAACCAGCTGTGACCCCAGTGTGCACCAGTTATTGTGGGGTCACACAAAGAATAGCTCCCCATGTCTGGAGTGTAGAGTGTACATGATACAGAATAAAAGTGTTTCTGGTGCACACTGTAAAATAAATTTACCAATTCCAGTGCTGTTGCCACCTTTTTCCCCCCTTTGTATCTATTTGTGATGTAGTAAAGGAAATTGAATTGTTGAACGTTTTGGGCACACAACTTAATGACATATTGAAAGAAAAATTATCAGACCATTTCCTCTGGTCATCTCCAGATAATAAGTTCCCTGATAACCGTGGACAATACCGTACTGTGCTAAAGAGGCTTGACAATTTTATTGCATTCAGGATAAAAAGAAAATATTTTTGTATACGTTTTGGTATAGGTCATGATTCTCAAGAATAAGCAATATGAACAGAAAACAAAAATTAGTCACCAATATCTACCTGTTATGGTAAAGAAAAGGTTCCCGAAAGGACAATTTAAAGGGTGGAATGTCATTTGTTTTCTACACAAAAAAGAAATGTTGCCAATGATGGAGATATATCTATAGTTATAATTATATTGTGTGCACCATTAATATAGGAACAATACAAAAATCTTCAAATGTGATGCTAAAACAGACTTGAAAGATCCATGTACTGTACTGGGTATCCCTTAAGAGGCAGCACTTGCAATGTATTACCCACGCTATCTAAAAAAATAATTCGCCATATACACAAGTACTGTATAGTTGCAAAGTGATCTCTTGGATAATAAAAGCCAGCTCCGTACTGTATATACAGTAATAACTGTACTGATTAATTTTATGAGAGGAATTCACAAATACTGAACTGCCCACTGGATTTTAGACGCTGTGTACAATGCATGAGTACAGTGCCGTATATATATTAATATATTTGTACAGTCCTCAGTACAGGTGCTTGAAAAATTAACGATCAACTCGAATATAAAATAGCAGTGACACCTATGATTCAATTTTACAAAAGAACTTTGTATGTCCAATTTCCCCGTCTCAGTTAAACATTTGCTTTTACGTTTCCCATCAATGAAACGCCGGTCGTTCTGGTGTACACCAGAGAAATACTGCTTCTGTACAGTATTTCTAATGTTTCATGAATGTCTCGGAATTGTGTATTGGGATTCCTAGTGATCCTGATCGCTAATAAGTTTCATGAGTGGTTCTTCATTTTCTTAGGTCGTTTAAGTTCTGTAATCAACAAAACCTGAGAATGAGGGGACGCGGTGGAAATATTCGTGGACGAGGAAAAAATATGCGACCTCCTTTCCTCGGGAGAACGTTTTCGCGTCCCGTGTATGATGAATATTTCTTCACCTCGAGCGAGGAAACTGAACAGAAAGATGATGAAAGTGGATTGGCAGAGGTCTGATGAGTACATTATTCGTGATCGTTGATGATGAAATATAAATGCCATGCACCCCATTTCAGGAGCTTCGCAAGAAGGATGCACTATTGAAACCGACGTTAGAAGACGAAGCATCACTGCGAAATTTGCTCACAAAAATCACGGGGATTGCAGACAATTTGATCGTCGCTCCAGGGTCGTTCACAGGATGTGTAAGTTCTCCTGTGTTGAGGTGTACCAGGAACCGGATTTTGATTCTTCGTATTCCAAATTCAAGCAACTCGAAGAAGTTCGTGCGGTCGGATCTTTCAAGAAAAATACCATGACCAGATTGAACTTGGCTCCAGACGTTGTTTTTGTCTTGAAAACCTTACCAATGAAGGAAGCCGTCGAACAACTGGCTCAGAAAGTCAATGAAGATCTTCGAGCGCAAGGTGGCATTTTGGGTGAGTTTCAAACCGTGATTTGCTGTTCATGTTTTTTCAGGCTGATTTTATTCCAGGGTCTTACGTGGAATGCAATAATCGTGGATTCACGATTCATGCGGAGGGTCGGAAAGTGCACTGCCTTGTGGCTACAATCCCGCAGAATATCCGCAATCTAGACCGAGAGCTCCATTTGGATGCGAAAGTTGTCATTGCGAACTCCTGTGCCATCAAACACAGGTAAACGGAACGCGTATATGCTTGAAAAAATAAGAAGTGTGGGTTCAAAGTGTTGTGTTTCAGCCGGTGGTTTGAAGAAAATGGGCATCATCCGTCCGTGAGAGTGCTTGCTCGCGTTTTACGGGACTTGGCGGCTCGTTTTCCTGGTTTAAATCCTCTTAAACCATGGATTATTGATTTCCTGGCGCACCATTGCATCATGGTCACTGAATCGGGTTATACCTTGTCAGCTGCCCAAGGATTCCACCGCGCCTTGGCGTTGTTGGCTGCCGGAATTTTCCTTCCACTGTCAAGCAGTATGTCCGAGAATTTTTTAATTTTTCAAATAATTTTCTTTGAAAAATAAAGTTGTGATCATACCTGGCGTGCGTCCCGACGATTTCAGGTATTGCAGATCCGATTGCTGATAGGATGATGTACAAGATACACGGTTCGTTACCGTTGGAGGATCAAGATCTCGTTTGCATGACCGCTCAAAGTCTTGTCCGTATCCTGCATCACGGTGGATGGAAGCAAATTCTCGGATTGGAAGGAAAACGTATGACTTAATATTTGTTGGTTATCTTTGCAAGCGTGGTAAAAAGTACTTTTTTTGCAGTTAATCTGGATAAGCCGGTTATCATCAATGGGATCACGATAAGCCCACAGGAAAGAGTGTATGAGCGGCCAGTTAAAGCAGAAGACGGTTCTGACAATACAGGAAATGAGGAAATGGAAAATGAGGAGAATATGATTCCAGCAATGCTGACTGGCTGAATGTCGAGTTTCGACGTTCGCGTGAAGATCATTACTTCTCGATTTCTTTTTCGTTGTGTTTGGTGTATTATGACTCAGATTTGTAAAACTACGTGTTGTAGCTTATCATTCCAGTTATTCTTCTGATATTGAAGAGTTTTTTGTAGTATTCCTGAAATAATTGCTGGCTGTGTCCCATTTTTGTTCAATTTGTCCAGAGGCGATAGAAGATGAATTTCTCTTGAATGGCCAATTTTTGTACCCCGGCGCCTAATCGACAGAGTTCTGTCGACCGGAGGACGGAGAGGAACTGCAATAAAGTTCCGTTCCGCTTGGAATCATTCCGATACAAGGAATTAAAACATCCCATTGAATCGGAAATCCGGTCATCAATCGCAAGTCTCATCAAACGCATTGTCGAGCTCCGTTCAGTTCTGGATCCCGGAAGTCAAGTTGACCTGGGCGTTACGAAAGTAAGATTCCACTCAAATTTTCTGTATACAGTATTCTTCAGTTTCACTTTTTATTTTTTTATTTATTTCTAGGATACCTTCCTCGCTCCTGCAGCAGCAAAGTTCACCGATGTGTTGTATTTCCTTCTCAAGCTTTTGGATCCCGAAACGCAGAAAAAATTTACTGGGGTCTACCCTACGTACAATGATTTGAAACTCAATCGTATGTTTGTGGACGTCTCGTGTTCTGCACTCGAGGACCTGCGAGTGAGTTCAGTCGGTTTTATAACAAGTATACTCTGTGTAGTTCTATCCATTTATCTTCACTTGCCGGCATGTCTTTATTTAACGAAGTTTGACAATTGACCGTATGATTCAATTTTGCTGTTCCACGGAATATTCCACATTTTTTCGACATCATTGAGAATGTAAGGTTCCAGAATTTTGAAGATACTTGATTGAAAAACTAGATACACTATATGGCAAAAACTGGGCTGCCATAAAAATTTAATTCTCTTTAATTTGCGAAAATTAAAAAAAGTGTCTGTGAACATTGCAAAAAAATATGAAGCTCTAAATTAAATGTGTGGCTGCGTGTTGGACTTCTTTTACATTTTTGGACCGCTACTCGAAAACCTTGCCCACAATTCTGTAAACCTGTCAAAGAAAACATTTTTTGTGGAAAATCCTTTACGGAAAAAAATCATGAACCCTGGGAGAAAGAAATCGTTTTCAATGTTGAAACAAATGATAAATTTTCTGCCGATTTTTTTTTTAAATATTTTAATTGCATCGCTTATTTTCCGTTGATTTATTTGCAGCGAAAGTCGCCGATTCTTTTCCGTATGATACCAAAAGTACAAAAAACCGTGCTCAAGGAAGCTGGTGGAAGCTCAGTCACTGCTATGAAGTTCTTGGATTTTCTGTATGCACTTCTCGTTTATTGTCTCTTCGTAACTTTGGATCAAGGGATGCGGTTCATCAGTTCAAAAGGTGTGAAGATATACTGTTGAATATTGCTTCATTTCGTGATACGCCCAACTGATGCGTCTTTCTCAGAGGATTTGGAACCGATCTATCAGCATGTCAAATCTGAATTCGGGAAAATAACGCTCGACATGACGGACGAGAAATTATCAAGAAATCTAGCCAAGTCTGTCATGAATGCAGAAGTTGTTGAAGCGTGTTGCATGGATGCCTTATCCGAGGAGATCGAATGTTTGGCATTTGACGAGGAGTTCTTGAATGATTTGAAAAGGTAAATGTTATTTGTCCGCCGTCTTCAGAGCATATCCTTTAAATCTTATGTTTAAAGCTCTCGAGTATTCACTGACATCTGCCGGGTGAAAGCTTCGGATATCGAGCAACAGTTGAAAAAACCTGTGGTAGATCCTAGGGAATGTGAGAAAGGTACGATATTGTAGAAGTCAATTCATACCAGGTTAATATGGGTTATTTTGTTTTGCAGGAGCGGCATTAGCCTTGAAACACTTGAAGGCGGAGGAAGAAAACTTGTTTGTTCTTATTCAGAAATTGAACAGTGCCTTGCAGTTTCTGGATCCATGCGAATATCTGATTGATGGAGACGCTATTTTGTTGGGAGTCGTCTCTAAATTTTGTAAATTGAATACGGTAAGGTGTTAGGGTAGTTTTTTTTTTTTTTTACTGAGCTGAGATTGATCAAAATTTTCCAGCTCAAAAGCTTGGTATTTCCGGATCCATATTCGAGAATCACCGCGAAGAGTATCCCTGTCGAATTGTATGTGGAAGGGCTTGAAGCAAGTCTTCCTGTGATTGCAAGTGATGAGTGTGCAACAGTCGTGGATGGCAAGCTTATGGGTAAGTTGAACTGATGTATGATGAAAGGAATTCGCCTTGATGCCTTTAATTTACTGCCTTAGCCGAAAGAGAACGTCTCTTGAAAGAATCCATGAAGAATTTGTCCAAGTGCGCAGTTGCAGTTGAAGAAATCCAACAAGAGCAAGAAAAAGCTGTGAAATGTATTCTGAGTCTGTTGGAGGACCTTTGTCCGTGGAATGTCGGAGAGTGTGGCGACCACCTGCAAGAAGAGCTACCTTGGTATCCCATCTGGGACGAAGCTTCTCTAGAGGCTTTATGTAGAATTTGATTTTTTGAATATTTTCTTACGACCTGATATAGTTTCCCGGTTCAACTGTTTCACTTCTTTTAATGAACATTTCACGATTCATGATATCAGGTTTCTCTGCAGGTTCAGCCTCTTCCGCGTTGCGCGTCTTTCAGTCTTTTAGTCGTTTTTTTTTTAATGGCGGTGAAAACTTACGGCGAAAAACCCGTCAGTTTTCAGCTTGATGAGGATGGAGAATTTTTCTGTATTGGATCTGAGGTTCGTTCCGATGATTATTTTTATTTTCATGTTTTAAATTTCAATAGATGGTTTTTTTTCTTAGGTGGGAAATTATTTGCGACTCTTTCGCGGTTCTCTCTACAAGAAATATCCCGGACTGACGCGGAGGAATGTAACAGTGGAAGAAAGACGCAAATTGGCCGAATTGGGATTGTCACAAGCCGTTCTAGCATCTAGCATTTCATTGCTAAAGGCGAGTGAAGTGGAAGACTTGATAGAAGGGAATGACGATCGATATAAAGCCATTTCCGTGCACTCTGAAGTGCACGTTGCTCCTAAGTGAGTCTTTCTGTCATCCGTTTCACTTCAACTAATACTCGGATAAAGTCGTAAATTTCGAAAATTCATAGCTCATCGTGATAACTGAAGATAGTTCGTTTATTCGTAAGTTTTTTTTATTTTTATTTAGAGAAACGAAGGCCCGGAAAACGGCATGGACACTTCCGCCTCCTTCTTCTTCGCAGCATCTTGACGCTGTTCCTCAAGCAACTCCAATAAATCGTAATAGGATCGGGACCAAGAAAGTCCGAACGTTTCCTCTTTGGTGCGAAATGAATTTCTTGAATCGTAGCGTATTCAAAGAATTTTAAAATGTTGTCTTCTTCCAGCTTTGATGACACTGACGTTGTTTCCCTTCATGAAAACGCTGCCGCAATGGAAGTACTGGTACCGATTCGCCTGGACATGGAGATAGATGGCTTGAAACTCCGCGATACCTTTTGTTGGAATAAGAATGAAACCTTAATCACCCCGGAAATGTACGCTGAAATTCTCTGCGATGATCTCGATCTTAACCCGTTGACGTTCGCTGGTGCGATAGCGCAGTCGATCAGGCAACAAGTGGAGCAGTTCAACACTGATTCCATACTCACTGAACAATCCGACCAGCGTGTTTTGATAAAGGTCTGTACATTGTCTCATTTTATTTTCGTGTGATTTTCTAATAAGCTTAGATCCGCTGGCTTTGCGGAAGTTATTGAGAAAGGGTTTCTGTTTCAAGTTGAACGTCCACGTCGGGAATATTTCTCTGGTGGATCAGTTTGAGTGGGACATGAGTGAAAAGCACAATGTATCTCCCGAAGAATTTGCTGGTCAATTGTGTGCCGAATTGGGACTTGGTGGAGAATTCGTGACTGCCATTTCCTATTCCATTCGTGGCCAGCTTGCGTGGCATCAGCGTACTTACTTGATGAAGTAAGAAAAACAATTTTTGTATTCACTTTCGTACGATTATATGCCTGAGGCCAGATACTGAATCCATCTCTTTCCCGTGAGAAAGGTGATACTTGCGTTAGTTTACCTAAGATCCCAGTCCGCAATTCGATCTAGCTTCTGCAAGATGATCCGTGAAAATATATTTCCTTAGCTCAACACTGATTTTCATGCTTCGTGATCTCTTTTAGACCTTAATTGTTAATCTTAACGGAGGCTTTGAACTTTCCCACGAAAATTCATAAATTTTGATGTGCGTTATTTTTCGGTACATTTCTAATCAACGTGCACATTTTTCTCCATTGAAATTTTTTTCAAATATCTGTTTTCAAAATTAACCTGCGTAGTCAAGATAGCATGATTTTTGTCTCACTTGCGCAAAATTTAATGAAGCGAAAGAAATAGGCACATCAATACTTCATCATTTTTAACCATGTTTTCAGAATGAACCTACAAAGTTTGAAGAAAGCATGCTTGTTGTCTCCCTAGCGCTAAATTTGATGAAGTGAAGGAACAAGGCACATCCATAATTTATTAAAATGAAGAGATTAAGCCGATTTCTGCAATAATTTAAGTTCCCAGACTACCACATGAAGCCAACATTTGGCTTCCCAATTTTTAACCGATTTCGATTTCGGGGATGAAAAAGGACTTATTGTTCCTAATAGCTTTACATTATTTTCAAGTTATACAAGTTTTAAAGTAGATTTAATATTTCGTATCTTTAAATTGTCATTTTCATCGCAGAATTTTTCGCGAAAGTAAGACTTATTTGTTGTAACTGAAATCCATCTGTGTTTTCCCCGCAGTGATAATCTCGGACCTGTGGAAACACCGTACAGAAATCCCGGCGATGCCGAGCAATGGTCGCCCTTCCTGGAAACTCTTACCGACGCAGAAATGGAGAAGAAAATAAGAGACCAGGACAGGAACACTCGCCGAATGCGACGTCTGGCCAATACGACCACTGGTTGGTGATGAGCCACCTCTTCAGTTTTATTCTTCGCTTGACCAATGTTATGTCCCTCAAAAAAAATGAGGACTTAACTTTGTTTTTGGGTTGTATTCTCCCCTCCCTTTTCCCCCCGTTTTAAGGGTTTCAGGAGAAACATTTAGGCTGTGATCATTTCTGAATCAAGTACTTTCTGAATTTCCTTTACCTGATTTAGACTCCGCTGGAAGGTGCTTATTGGCTGTCAGTAATCTGTTCGACTTTTTGTTTCCGATGTTTCGCTGTTGCATGATCAAACTTCGTCGTCTGTCGCGGACTGGGTTCTGGCTGCATGCCCATCGAAACTTCATCGAACATTCTTGAAAGCACTAGTTTTGACAACTTCGCGTTGTGTCATGTTTGTTTGTTCATTCGCAGTTCGAGCGAATTGAGAAGCTCCTGGACGAACCCGTGGTTCGTGTCGTATATGAGTTTACCGGTTGCCGTTCAACTGCACGAGGATTTTTGCGGCGATCTTAAAAGGCTTTGTATGTTGGTGCACTATGTTCAGTACGGATTTACAAGAAAATTGTGCTTTTCGTGGATTCTTGTTGAAATTTAGCTTATTATTTGGTGCTTCCGCCTCTCCGCATCATCAGTTAATCTTTTTTGTTGAATTCGCGTTTTTTTCAAGTCGACTGTTCTGAGGAAGTTGGAAGTTTGACTAAATCAAACTTGAAATTGAAAAGGAAAGATTTCAGCTCGTATCGGCGATACTTTTCGGCTTTTGTTTAATGAAGGATTTTGTTCGCAGAAATAGTGTTGATATTTAATTGTGCTAATGTCTTCGAAAACTTATGGTGAAAAGCCGGTGAGCTTCCAGATTGAAGATGGGGGCGACTTTTACTGCATCGGCTCTGAGGTTTGTAATCTAAAAACGAGTGTCTTGTTGGAGTTAGTTTTCTACGACCATGTTTACCAGGTGGGGAATTATTTGAGACTTTTTCGTGGAGCGTTGTACAAAAAATATCCGGGCCTCTACAGGCGGAATGTGTCCCCGGAAGAACGCAAGAAACTTTTGGAGATGGGTGAGTTACTGTAATAAAAGAATTTCATCCTTGTCCCTTGAACTAATAAATGGGCGTTTTGTCTCGATTAGGTCTCACTCACGCCGTATTTGCATCGAACATCTCCCTTCTGAAGTCTAGTGAAGTTGAAGATGTCCTTGACGGCAAGGACGATAAATACAAAGCTATGGCCGTGCAGCATGCTGAAGTCGCCGTGGTAGCTCGGTAACATCGTAATGTGATCATAAAACATCAGGTTGTCATTTTAGATAAACATGTATCTTTGTAGTGACATAAAGACTAGAAAGTCTGCAGTTTCCATCCCGGTTCCTTCATCAACTCAGCATTTGGATGCCGTCCCACAGGCTACTCCGATAAATCGTAACCGTTTGGGAGTGAAAAAGATACGGACGTTTCCTTTGGTGTGAGTTGGAATTTATTTTCGTTCTGATGGTATCCGTCATTTTTTTCTTCTTTCGCAGCTTGGATGATACAGACCCTGTGAGCCTCCATGAGAATGCTTCTGCACCTGAAATTCTTGTTCCCATTCGTCTCGACATGGAAATCGACGGGTTGAAACTAAAAGATACATTCTGCTGGAACAAGAATGAAACTCTCATTACTCCAGAAATGTACTCCGAGATTTTATGTGACGATTTGGACTTGAATCCCATATCGTTTGCGCCGGCTATCGCACAATCCATCCGACAGCAAGTTGAACAGTACCAAGCGGAGAGTGTGACCACGGAGAATTGCGATCAGCGTGTGCTCATCAATGTGAGTCATATTTTTATTTTTGCGTTGTTCATAATCAGTTGCGAGGATGTATTTGTTGCTTGTGTTTATAGCCGTTCTCTTCGATGGCGAGACTGTTATAATATTTCATCTTTAGGTTTTGCAAATTACGATTCATCCCCTCTCCTATTTCTTTTTTTGCTTTTTTCTTCTTCCGTTGACACTGATGACCTGGACTATTTTCTGAACAATATTCGGATTTGGTTCCCTCATCCCTTCGACTTTTTTTCGTATATCAGATTGAAAATTATCTTAAGATTTTTCCAGTACTGTACTGTACACAGTTCGATTTTTTATTACAGTATGACCATTTTTAATATACCTTTAGCAATATTCTGATTACACTTAAAGTACTGTACTATAAAAATTTCTGTAAAGCTATATAAAATCGTTGCCATCAGCTGACGAGAAGACTGTAGCCTATGTAATGTTTTTTTTTTTTCAATCGCAAGCTTCAGCATTCGCATGAACAAATGAAGTGTTATCGCGTCAATCTTGCGATCTGATAGATCCAGACGTTTTACCACATTTTAGTAGTGAAAAAACGTTGAAATGTGATCAATCGTTTTCTTCCAGTTGAATGTGCACGTTGGAAACGTATCTTTGGTTGACAAATTGGAATGGGACATGAGCGAGAAGAACAACATCACTCCTGAAGAATTTTCCACGAAACTCTGCGCTGAACTAGGTCTTGGTGGGGAGTTCATATCTGCAATTGCTTACTCTATTCGTGGACAGCTCACGTATCATCATCGATGCTGGTTTTCAATGAAGTGAGTATTGTTATTATTTAATTTGTTAAAATTTGGGTTGAATCCGCGAGCAAGCTCTTGAATATTGTACCTTTTTTTAACTAGTGACTGCCCTTTGCATCTGACTGATCCCGTCGGAACTCCGTACCGAAACGCTTCTGATGCAGAACAGTGGTCTCCATTCCTGGAGACACTAACAGACGCTGAGATGGAGAAGAAAATACGCGACCAGGACAGAAATACTCGTCGAATGCGACGCTTGGCAAATACTGTCTGGTGAAATGATATTGAGATGATTTCATTCGGAAAACGAACTGCCTCATTCAACAGCTTGCGTTGTCACCCAACTCATAGATTACGTTTTGCTTTAATACGTATCCTTCGTGAATAGTTCAAGTGTAAAAGATTTTTAAATATTTCCCCGTATATATGTGTTGAGCTTGTGGGATCTTGGTATGAATTTGATACATTTTGAATGTTTCGACGCATTTTGGTCTTTTCAGTAACTTGGAGATCTCAGTTCGATCGTTGAAGCGGCTCTCGGAATAATTTTAAACGAGTCTGTTTTATAATGCCTTTGAAACATGAACACGAATGAAGATTTTTTACGTGCCTATTTCATTTCATTGTCTCAATTCACTTTTCTATGTCATAATACATATCTGCTGATTTTATCGTTCTTTGTTCGTGAATAGACTACTATTTTAGTTATGGCCTCAGTGAAGCGAAAGAACGTTGTTGAAGAAGAGGAAAGCGATGAGCTTACATTTCTGCCATTGTAAGTTTTTGATTCTTGTCACTCAATTTGCAAGACGTCTGATACTGAAATTCGGCTTTACAGAGGCTCTGGACAAGAAGTTGGACGATCATGCCATCTGTTGACTTTCAAAGGGAAGAAAGTTCTGGTAAGTATGTGCTTGCACTATTTCAACGCGATGTACTCCGAGCTTTATTTTTGAATGGCAGTTAGATATGGGCATCCATCCGGGCCTTTCTGGAATGGATGCTATACCATTTGTGGATCTCATCGAAGCCTCAGAAGTCGACATTCTTCTCATCAGCCAGTGAGTCCTTGAATTATTTATTTTCGATTTTTGAGACGTTTGAGATTTTCTTCATTTCTATTCTAGTTTTCACTTGGACCACTGTGGAGCTTTGCCGTGGTTTTTGCTGAAAAGTAATTTCAGGGGACGGTGTTTTATGACACATGCATCGAAAGCCATTTATCGTTGGCTTTTGTCCGATTACATCAAAGTGAGGTGAGTATTGCTTGGGATTCGTTGTCAAAGTAGGTGCACTTGGTTTTACCGAATGTAATAGATATACGCGTTTAATCAATCAGGATGCCTTCAATTTAAATGTTCACTGCCAGTTTCGAGTAAACTAAATTTTTAACACATTCAAATTGAATAATGGTAACTCAAAAACTTCTTGTAAGTCTGCTTAACGCGGAGCACAAGATTGAAACGCCAACTTCGCTAAGGACAACAATGTAAAATTCAGAAAATGAGTAGTTTGAGGAGATTTGAAATTTTCGCTCATGTTCTTGTCCATTTCACCATTCACAGAAGAGTTTTTTGCGCATTGTGAGGTAATTCTTTGAATTTATGATGCTGCAGGAATAAGGCTACATCGTTAGCTTTTGATTCGAGGATCGAATTAATTTTAGGCAGCAATGCTCGAATTGTATTTCTCTTTTATTTCATCAGCAACATTGGTGCAGATCAGATGCTTTACACTGAAGCCGACTTAGAGGCCAGCATGGATCGCATTGAAACAATCAATTTCCACGAGGAACGCGAAGTGAATGGAATTCGTTTTTGGGCCTACACCGCTGGACATGTACTTGGAGCTGCCATGTTCATGATTGAAATAGCCGGTGTAAAGGTATGATTACCATTTTCTTCTGGTCTGTAATGGAAGTTCCAACTCGACCCAACTCATAGCACTATTTGTCTCCACAAAAAAATGACCTATAGAATTCCAACCAAGTGAAATCGCCATAGTTTTGTGATGGGGAAAAATTAACGAAATTCGGAACTCATCTTGCAGATTCTATACACTGGCGATTTCTCTCGTGAGGAGGACCGACACTTATGTGCTGCTGAAATTCCAGCGGTGAAACCCGATGTGCTGATTACGGTATGCATTAAATTCTTCTGCATTTTCTTCTGACTAATTTTTTTTCTTTTTCAGGAATCCACATACGGAACACATATGCACGAAGAACGGGAAGTACGTGAAGCGAGATTCACGCATTTGGTACAAGACATCGTTTCTCATGGTGGCCGATGTCTAATTCCTGTGTTTGCTCTTGGACGAGCCCAAGAATTGTTGCTGATTTTAGGTATAAAAAAAACTATACTCGACGTAACTTGCATCCGCATTTAAGTCTCGTATTTTCATCAGACGAATTTTGGCATCATCATCCTGAGCTGCACGAGATCCCGATATACTACGCGTCTTCGCTGGCAAAGAAGTGTATGGGTGTCTACCAAACCTACATTAATGCTATGAATGACAAAATCAAGCGTTTGATCACAATTGCAAACCCATTCATGTTCAAGCATATTTCCAACTTGAAGGTAAGTCTTCGGCTGTGTTGAATCTTCGAACCCGGTTCATTGGTATCGTTGGGAAGTGGATCTCTCTCGGAGAACATCTTTTTAGCTGCTGCATTTTTGTTCCATTATCTTCAGAGTATTGACCAGTTCGACGACATCGGCCCGTGTGTCATAATGGCTTCACCGGGTATGATGCAAAGTGGATTGTCACGAGAGCTGTTCGAGATGTGGTGCACTGATCCCAAGAACGGCGTTATTATTGCTGGTATGAGAATGACCAAATTGTTTTCGTTTTTTTTTTTCTTTCTAAATTGAAGTTGAATGACGAACGTGTATTCTTTTTATCAGGGTATTGTGTGGAAGGAACGTTGGCGAAAAGTATTCTTGCGGAGCCCGAGGAAATTACTACGATGTCTGGGCAGAAACTTCCTTTGAAAATGCGTGTCAACTACATCTCATTTTCTGCGCATGCTGATTACAAGCAAATCAGTCAGTTTGTGCGGGCATTGAAGCCTCCAGAAATCGTTCGTTTCTCAAATGGTTTCGATAGCTGTATTTTAATTTTGAGAAATCACCGTTTATTGCGATTTACAGATTCTTGTCCATGGCGAGCAGAACGAAATGGGCAGGTTGAAAGCAGCTCTAATACGGGAATATGAGGACGACAAGGAGCACTCCATCAATGTGCACAACCCTAAAAATGCACAGACCGTTTCGTTGAAATTCAAGGGCGAAAAAACTGCTAAGGTGCGTTTGAATGTACAGTATTTTCCATTTTCTCTGTTGTGCATTTCTCGTTCTTTTTCTCTCAGGTGGTAGGAAAGCTGGCAGCTAATGGTGCTGTCGATGGTGCTAAGCTCACCGGGGTTGTCATCAAGCGAAATTTCAAGTACCACGTTATGGATCCTAGTGATCTGAAAAGTAAGTTCATGTATTTTGACGTTCTATTCCAAATCTGATAGAATGTCCGAGTATCACTGTAAAGGGAGTATACGTGCATTACATTTATTTTTGTCCTAGGATTTACCGATAAAAGCATCAGTGTGATCAGTCAGCGTCAAATGGTTCATTTTTCCGGATCATACAAGCTTCTGCGCTACCTTTTGACGCAACTATGCCCTCGATCCATCGAAATGGCCGAAGCAACGCCTGGGTATCCGAGTAACGCTCGGATAATGAAAGTCTTTGACAACATCACAGTGGTTCATCAGCCTAACCTCGTCACGTTGGAGGTTAGCCATGAAAAAAATATCGACGTACAAGTATTTTTTTTAGCTCAGAAAAATATTAAGCCTATTGGCTGATTTGATTCTTTAAAAAAAATCAAGTATTATCCTTGTGGCACTTGCCCTGTTGTACGCGGAATGTTCCTCGGAAAAAATTATTCAATTTCGAGAGCTGGATTCTTCATAACTTGTTTTTGAAACCGAATTCGGGGAGTATTTCGTGTATGATTTTTTTCAAGTTGATGTTGCATCTGTAGTCCAGTATTGAACTTTCTTCTTGACTCCATATTACAAATCTGTTAAAGCCTAGGAAGGCCCTGTACAGATATTACACCCGGAAGGTAGCAAGACGCTAGCGTTTCCACGAAGTACAGTAGTGAAATAAAATGATGAAATAAAAAAGTGAAAAGCCTGGGCCTTCGTATAAGTGTGTTCAGTATGACTACCGAACAAACTTATGCGGTTGGTTTGAAGCTAAAGAGAAAGACTGGTGTAGATTACCAATCCTAGCATCGTAGACTTCGTACTGCTGTTGACTCCTCTGATCTTCAAAATTATGTAACAGTGGGAGGCTGATCCCATGAACGATACTTACGTTGACGGGATTATGGTGGCTATACTGCACGTGGAGCAGCTCAATTTGTCCTCGACTAAACAGGTACCAGCGATCAACAAACGTGACATGAACCATTTCAAGGTAAATCGACGGATTTTTATAAAATATCGCGATTTGGCAATTGCGGTACGGTGTTTTTTTTTCTTCCCCTTTATAGACGTGTCTCGTTGAAATGTTGGTTGACATGTTCGGGGAGGAATCTGTGCCTAAAGCCATAGATGGAGACAGTTTTGAAGTGAAAGCTGGCGGAAACGTTGCGCACGTTGATCTCAAGCATTTGGTGAGTGGAAAGATCAGCAGGTGAATCCCTCGCTTGGCTGCGTGCGCTAATGTTTCACCTGCTTTTTTTCCCCCTCGCTGTTATCCCAGATGGTTACTTGCGAAGACGAAAAGCTGAAGAAAATTGTCCACACTGCTGTTTTTCGATTGCATCAAACGATGGGCCCCGAGCCAGATGCGGAGCCGGATCTCGCCCTCGTTGCCGGAAAGTGAAATAGCGCGATCTGTGCGGTTTCTCGCCTTTTTATTTCTTTCTTTTTATTTTTAACTGTTGGAAATGCAGGCTCGTGTGTTTTGTTACGATGATACGGGGGTTGATGAGTGGTGCCTGTGAATCGAAGCGTGTCTTCCACGCCTGCGCTAGTACTTGACCAATACGGAAGTTTCCTTTCGTTGTCGCTAAATTTTGAGGATTTTTGTTCTATTTAACTGCGAAATAGTTTTTCATTAAAAGTGCCCTTTTTTCTTCATTAAGATTAATTTTGAGGTCTCACAAGTTGGATTATTACTTTTTTTTCTCGTCTGAACGGACATGGCTTTCCATCACGCCGGCTTAATTTTGGTGGAATGTTATCCGTATGTTAGTTTGTATATAGTAAATTGATTACTGCAGAACACTAGAGCGCTCGATTTTGGTGAATTTCCTGATGATTATCCTCGTGTGAAAATATTATCAAAAATTGTATGAAATCCCCTTCAAAACATTCAATCAGCAGTGACGATTCGAAGGTTGTCTTGCCCTTCTAGACTAATTCTAGAGTGTCCACTGTGGAAACATTGCAGTGTATCAGAAGTTGCGATATTAATTCTATTATCAGAAGCTCCTCAAAATTCAGATGAAGAAAGGAGGTATAGTCATTAGGCAGGCACTGCACAAGTTTCAAAAAATTTGATTTTGAAATGCGGTGCATGTCTTAATTGGAGGAAGGATTTCATCAAACTTCTTTTGGCCGATAAATCTGGGCGCAGTGCTAACAATGAGCACTGTTCTGTTTTTCTTTCGTGCTTAAATGTGGGTTTTATGGAGGTGGGGTTTGCTTCTTCGGGAATTTTTTCTGTCTAATAAAATCGTCCAAATGTTTTCTGTGCATGGGAATGCCACAAATCTGCTCATTTAAATTATGCTCGAAGTTTCCGGCTGAAGAGAAGGCATATAGTACGTTTTAACTGCAGTACTTAACTGATTTTAAAAGGACTTGGAATCGTGTGAGACGTTCAAATAAAGATTATGTAAGCTGATATTCGAATGTCGTGTATGCCATTTGCGTGCACCGAGAAATTTGAGGGAACCCCTTCAAACCTCCCTTTTTTTATGAATTTCCCTCAGTTCACTCCTTCCGAATGTTGAGTGCACATGCTGTTATACTCAAATATGGTGCAGTACGTGCATGGAACCCTGCAAAACAGATACACCGCTTTGGGTGCCAAAAAAAAAGTTCTATTCCAGAAATGTGAGCCAGAACGAACAGAGAAAGGATTTTACTCCGGGTTCAGAGAGGCAAAGTGTATCGTGCATTTTTGGGGTTTTTCGACGATGCTGGAACTTCGTTTCGGAGGGTGAAAAATCGAGTTTGAACCCTTCTATGCGTTTTTCTGTTCCTTTGCAGTAAGGCATTTTTGCTCAGCAGGAGCTTGTGCTGTGGAATTGATGGGTTAATGATGTTTTGATTCTTGAGGCTTCACGTACTGCACTGTCCTTTCTTGGTCAAGGAATTATTAGATTTAAAATGCTTTACGTCAACAATACAGCGATGAACTCTTGATTGTTTTGGAGTGGAATGTTTTTTATTTAACGCCTGGCAATATGATTTCGAGGCTTGTGTAGGGATTTTAGGGAAACACTTGGTCGGAAATGTTCAGCTGAATATTTCATTCATACATTTTTAACGAATGATATTTAACGATCCGTCAGATGCGTGGCGATAAGTGAAGTTACGATTTTGTCAGGCGGAAAAAATTCAAGAGTACAATACAGTAGTTCACTAGTCACTACTTGCGAGTTGCGACAGAGAACATCGAACTGCAACAATTCATCTAAACCCTGCAGCGCCCGCATTTATTATAAATACATTTCGTCTTGAAATAAGATTTGTGACTTTTTTTTTTCACACATGGGTCAGACTATAAGCTTATATACCCATGGATGATACCTACTGCTGGATGAGCAGGGTGCATGCGGTTGCCTTGGAAACCTCAGGCAGCATGAAAGTTTGTCCCATGATGTGTGCATCATCAGTTCTTCACGGCATGAATCGCGTGACGACGACTCTGCGATTCCGCGGTTGTCAACCAAGCCTGCATTATACAGGCCTCCTCTGCAGATAGAGCGCATCCGGTCATTCCATGGAGAAGCCCATCATCAGAAGACGGCGTCACGTTTTTCTACGTATAATTTTTTAATGTCTTTAAAAACGACCATTACACTTCCTTAACTTTCCATGTATATCTGTAGCGATCGGGATATACACGAGGGTTTTCCCAGATGGACGCGGCCTCTTATATGTGTAGAATGCTGGGTAGTGTCTGCTGATTGTGAAAGCATATTTTTGACATAGCCCATGATGTTCTGGGATTTTTCAACTAAAAAAAATATCGCAACTACCTGCATATATGGTTATGAGATGAGTGAAAACTTTCCATTTAAAGAGAGAATTCTCCACTTAAGTCACCAACAGGTGGTAAAAATTTATTGGGCCAGCTAAAATTTGATTTTTTTAAATTTGACAATTGTTTTGTTTGCCATATTGTAGATAATGGTTAACACAACAAATAAATTTCAGTTTTTAGGTGGCCCGAGATATTTTTAGCACCCTAATATATAGCTGCGCAATAAATGGGGAAATTTCTTCAAAAATCCGTAAAAATAATCCCAGAACCTTAGAACATCCTGGGCTGTGTCAAGAATGTTTTTTTTTATTACAATTACATGTACTCCAGAAATATCAGCCGTGTCCAACTGGGATAACCTTCGATTTCTAAGAAAAATCGTCACGAATTTTTTCATCTTATATGCAGCTGAAGCTGAATCTGTGCGTGTACAGCACGGCATATACAGTATATTGTACTTATTTGTTGTTGAGAATGTTGACAGGAGATATTTTTCGTGTACAGTAATTCACTGAATTTTTTCATCTTATATGCAGCTGAAGCTGAATCTGTGCGTGTACAGCACGGCATATACAGTATATTGTACTTATTTGTTGTTGAGAATGTTGACAGGAGATATTTTTCGTGTACAGTAATTCACCTGATGACAGTGTTTTAATTATTTCTCATATCGGTGGTCGTTCAGTTTTATTTTATTTTTCAAGTTTTTTGGGAGGCCATGGTTTCTTGTGGCTGATCGAAATTCAATTCAGTGCTGTGGAGTGTAGAGTGTAGACCGTTGCGTGAGAGTCTACTTCCGGATTCGTGGCTATGACCTTCTAGTTTTCGTAGGATGGAGCACTGCAAAGAATTAGGCATCTGATACGGTTTCTGGGTCGGTTTCCGGCACGCGATACCGTGGTTGGAAGTTATCCACCATGCTGCTGCAGACCCCCCATCAAATAGTTCATCGTTCGGAACTGCTGCTTCCTTGATGCAGCCCAGGTTATTGGAGGAGCCAGGTGTAATAAACAAAAACGGACCAGCAGCACAGCAAACCCCTGTAATTCTCACGAATTTCAAACTTCCCGGATGTTTTCTTCATTTTTTTCTGGATGCATGCGGCATCCCCCCCCCCCTCCCAAGTACTGCTCACATTTTATAATGGCCAAGTTTTCAATTTTGCTTGGTCGATACATTTTATCTGCACCGAGAATTCATTTTGGAATATTTTTGACGAACAGGAATTGTTGTATCTTTGTTAAATGAGCCAGCTTTCGTATTCTGTCTTGTAGAATGATATCGTACGTGCGATAAATTTTTGCGAATGCTGTCTGCGCTAGAATAATTCATTGAAAAAACCCTGAATTGATCGTTCTGTATAGGTACAGTATATAAATTATTACTGTACTTTAGTTCCTGAATTTGGCCATGTGATGTCGAAGAGAAAAACTATTTCTCGTCATCTCCTCTTGATAGGGGTCAAAGCCGTTGGAAACGTGATTAACTGTTTCGGCGAGCATTATGTCTTGTTCTAAAATAAATTATTGAAAATTTTCGAAGAAATTATAATATTCAGCGTCCGCAGTCCAATCAATTCTATCCGAACATTAAAGTGAACTTATTCGCAGAAGTTCAAGGATATTTTCCAGATTGCACCAATAATTCGACCGAAAGCATTCACAGTGCTTAATATAGAAGTACAGTAAATCCAAATTCTAGTAAGTCCTACAACTTGATCCAAAAATATACGACTAAGTATACTTAAGCTTCGCTAGAATTTTCGTATTATTTTACCGGCCTAATTTAGCTGACATGCTTCCATAGGTTAGACTACGTCGTTATAAGTCACATATAGGCTTGTGCATTTAGGTTTTTTCAGTTTAGCACGTTCAATATATCATTTACCAAATTGCCACACACTCATACCGGCAGATAACCACATTGAACATTGAATTAAATACATGAAAAATTCAAAATACAGTGAATTTGAAATATTCGAGCTCATATACAAAGCCATTCATCCGATTATCAGTGCCGAAATTTGTTGAAGCAATAAAAGCGATTCAATAATCATAAAGAGAATTGAAGATATAGCACGAAGCAGACTGATTTTAAAAAGTTCATTTTTTAATGGAATTGCTTCTTTTTATCTGATAAAGCAGTACACGGTATATTCTAATGCAGTATCATACATCCAAACTAAAGAATAATTCGCAGTGAAATACTGCGTATCCCCGCAACATTTGAACCATTTTCTTGTTAGCATTCGGAAATGGATTTTATTATCCGGGCACAGCAAGAGCACCTGCGGTCATTAATTGGCATGGTTGATTGGATTCAAGCCCGGGATATACTGTGTATATAGTGCTTCGGGCAGTATAATCATGCCTGAAATTCACCTGGAATATGCATTTCGTGGGATTGCATGCTGATTTATTTTACTTCCGGAACCCCGTGCGTGCGTGCATAATCCCACATTCCTGGCTCAATCCGCGCGACATTGCCATGGCGGGTTATTCGGCTGGGTATATTTTCTTCACTGCCGTCGGCTGCTGACGCGGTTTGTGGGCGACGCGGGACGTCATCGCGAGAAGGAGGAGGGGGTGGAGGCCCGCGGGGTTTGTCGTCAGCTCATGCCTGCTGCTGTATCACGGCATATACAGTATATACGGGCCCAGGTATGACGACAACGAGGGAATGGGTCGCCCCGTAAACCGGAGCTGATCGTTACAGGAAGCTCATATTCGCCTTTGCTTGCTGCCCCCGCACCAGTTACCCCAAGACGGCTTGATTCTCTCTCAGGCATTTGCTGCTGGGCTGTATATAGCTCAGGTACATTTACAGGAAAAAATATAGAGCTTAAAAGTGGGT